CATCAAGAGAAAACTTAAAGAGAAAAGAATCTAAGACACACTCACGAAGATTGCAGCTCATTTGACACCCCCATATCTTATGCCTCAAGCTAAACCTAAAAACTAAAAAGAAACTAGAAAGCCAGATTTGTGAGAGCTGGCCATACCCAGACTGCCTCAATTGTTCCGACTGAAAAAAAGACTAAAGCTTCACAAACTGTTCCCTCAAGTGATTTTGATTAGCCAGTTCTCCACCTCGCATTCAATCTCACTCTTAAAGGAAACCTGGACAAAATAACCTCTTAAAGCCACATCATCGTCACAATGCGGACTGCTTGTGGCTGACATGGGTAGTGTGTGGTAACAGCCCATGTGTTGACAAGGGCTTGTGTGTGTGGTTGGGGCAAGTCATTGGAAAATGTGCTCGAGCCCTAAATTTGTTGAACTCAATACTAAGTCAAGAAGATTGCAGAGTTCCCAGGCTGAAAATGAGGTGCTGATTTTCCAGCTTGCGCTGAACTTCACTGCAGCCCTGCAGCAAGCCTGAGACAGAGATTTTCACCTGAGAACATGGTAACCTGTTGAAGTGACAAACAATAGGGTCATTTCCATAAACAGAATGTAGTTGCTCAACAAAGCGGTCATCTAGTCTGTGTTTCATTTCCCCAATGTAGATGACATGACATTGTGAGCAGTGAATACAGCAGATTAGATTGAGTGAAGTGCGGGTAAAGCCCTGGAAGTTGTGTCCAGGACATTGGATGGTGAGGAGGGAGGTAGTAAACAGACAACTGTTACACGTTCCACAATTCCATAGGAATGTACTGTGAGGCTTTGATATGATGTTGGGATCGAAGAAGGAGTAGACCAGGTTGTCTCAGTGAAAATGGTCCTTGCAGAAGGTTGACATAGGATGGGAGGGGAATACATAACAACCCACTGAAGGTGGTGAATATAGTGGCTATTGCTTTTCTGGGTGTGGATGCTGGTGGGTTGGTGGGTAACGACAAGGGTAACACTACTGGGTAACACTATCGATGTTGTAGGGTGAAAGAGAGGTCGTAGGGACGAAGTGCAAGAGACATTTCGGATCCATTTGAGGACCCTGTCAGCTACATGCTGAATCCTAGGTTGAAAGTGAAGGTGCGTATATCAAAGGCCTCCTTATTAAAGTTGGCATCATCAGAACAGATGTGATGGAGACAGCATAACTGGGAGAAAAGCTTGGAGTCTTTAGAGAAAGCAGAGTGTGAGGACAGAAAGGCAAGGTAACATGGGAGTCAGTGGCTTTATAGTGGATATTCGTAGCCAGCCTATACCCAGAAATGGAAACAGAGATGTCAAGGGCTGAGTGAGGAATGGACGAAGCAAAGGTGAGAGCAGGGTGGAAATTGGAAGGGAAATAGATAAACTTTTACAATTCTGAATGAGAGAGTGAAGCAGCACTGATGATATCGTCGATACCATGGAGAAAGAGTTGTCGGTGGGGACCATAGTACTACTGGAACAAGGAATGTTCCATGTACCTGACAAAGTGACAGATTTAACTGGGGCCCGTACGGGAACCCATGGCCATGCTTATGACCTGAAGAACGTGAGAGGAGTTAAAAGAGAAGTTGTTCACAAGCTCGGCCAGGCAGAGGAGGGTCGTGGTAGATAGGGACAGTTCAGGCCTTTTTTTTAGGACAAAACAGAGATCCCTAAGACCATCTTGATGGGGGTGGACGTGTAAAGAGATTACATGTCCATGGCAAAAAGGAGGTGGCTGGAGCCTGCAAACTGGAATTTCTGAAACCGAGCAAATCACCAGAGGAATCACGATTATAAGCTGGAATGCACTGAACAAGTGGAGAAAAAAAGAAATGAATCGAGGTTGGAACAGATGACTTCTGTGGGGCAAGAGCGGGCAGAAACCACAGGTCTGCCTGTGAAATCCTGTTTGTGAATTTTGGGAAGGAGGTAGAAGCAAGCTGTGCGGGATTCAGAGACTATGAGCTTGGAGGCAGCGCACGGGACATCACCAGATGAAATAAGGTTACTGACAGTTGTGGACACAATGGCCTGAGGTTCCATGGTGGGGTCATGTTTCAGGTGGCGATAGGAGGAAGTAGCATAAAGCCAGCGCTCAACTGTTGTAATGTAGAGGTCAGTACGCCAGGCAATAGCAGCACCATCCCTGGCAACAGGCTTAATAACACAGTCAGGGTTGCACCTTTGTACACGGAATTCAGTCAGTTCTCGGTGAACAGGTCGAGCACAGGTGAAAGGTCAGAGTGAGGGGTCTAGGTGGAAACAGAGTGTTTGAAGAGGGTGAAGTAGTCTGTGGGACAGGGAGAGGATTCTTGTTCACATAAATTGACATGGAGGCGAACTGGTACATCAGGGCTCATTGAAGACTATGGCACAAGAGAGTACAACGGTGAACATATTCGATTTACATGACATCTTTTTCAGAAAGCAACTGTGGTCACATAAATGATGGAAATGAACCAGTCAGGAAGATGCGGAATAGATGCAAACACAGCAATGCTGGAAGAACGAGAGACAACAAGGTGCAGGGCTGGATGAACACAGCAGGCCAAGCAGCATCATAGGAGCAGAGAGACTGACGTTTTGGGCCTAGACCCTTCATCAGAAAAATGCTGGAAGAATGGCTGACTAAAAGGGTACTGGCCTAATACGGTTTGTAAACAAACAGAACTACCATGATTTTTTTTTAAGTTTCCTACTAGATGAAGAATTAAGTGTCATTGTAACATTTAAAGATGTTGGACTGGTTCAGAAACATTTCATTCTTGCAGTTCATAGATCACAAGATGTTGTCTTCTGCAACAAAACACATGTTCGAGAGACAAATGTGACTCTGGATGAAATCATGAGGGATAGAGCAGGTGGAGACAAATTGGTACACCTAGCTAATTTCCTGATAGATGAAGTGGGTGGATTTTACTATGTGAGAAAATATAAATCTTTTAGCATTGAATACTGCAGCTGAAACCTCCTCGGTAGTATGTTTCTGTGAATGAAATCACACGACCGTCGATGTGATTGTCCCTAGAGCCGATCAAACAGGCTGTGAGCTAGCATCAACTTTATTGTAGGCAGGCCTTGCAAACAGTTCACTTCATGCAGCCATGGGCTTTTGTGTAGAGTAGAATACCCTGCAAGGAGGGCGATGCACATTCATAAAGCAGAAGTATCAGAGAAAAACCATAGTGTTACTGCATTGCAAAAGAGGCTGGAATAACTCCTGATTCCATGTATTTAGTAAACTATAAAATAGAGCCTGGGAAACTGCATTGAACAAGCAAAGTGATAACTAAGTTTGGGAGACAGTGATTTGATAAAATGTAAGTCAAAATATCAGAAATACATTCATTTACCCTTTAAAACTGATAGTAACCTTTTAAGCTCTGAACAATTATTTCAGGTCATGAGTCACCCAGTATCTCAGACACTTGAGATAACAAGGTGTAGAGCTGGACGAACACAGCAGGCCAAGCAGCATCAGAGGTGCAGAAAAGCTGACGTTTCGGACCTTGTTATCTCAGATTCTCCAGCATCTGCAGTTCCTACAATCTCAGACACTTAGTTGTTTGTTGATTGTCTTGGACGAAAGACATCAGACAAAAAGATTGGTGGAGATACACAAAGTGATACTGATGCACAGTGGAAGGCAATATCATCCAAAGAGCAGCTGCCTGAAATTCAGCATTCAGGGAACATAGAGACCAGCTTGGACTTGTGAATGCAGGGACATTAGAAGTTTAGGAGGTTGGAGAAGGAACGGCTACCAAAGTAGGAGAATCTCAAGATGCAAGAAATGTTAGAGTGTAGATATCTCAAAGGGCTTTGTCCTGAAACAGATTAAAGCAATATGATAAACTATGAGATGGACTTGGAGCCTCAGAAGTTAGCCACAGATAGTGACAGACTAATTCACATGAGAACTCCCACTGCCACTTCAGTAAGTCTATATTAGATTTTTTTCCCCTTTGCATTTCATCATAGAATCCCTACAGTGTGAAAACAGGCCCTTCAGCCTAACAAGTCCATACCGACCCTCAGAGCATCCCACCCAGGCCTATGACCCTAAAACCCAACTAATTTTCACATACCTGAACACTATGGGCAATTTAGCATGGCCAATCCACCTAGCCCACACATCTTTTGACTGTGGGAGGAAACTGGAGCACCCAGAGAAAACTCACGTAGACACGGGGAGAATGTGCAAACTCCACACAGACAGTCACCCAAGGGTGGAATTGAACCTGGGTCTCTGGAGCCACCATTTTTTTTCTTTCAATCTACTGTTCCAGCCAAAAATCACTCTCCTAACTCTATTTGTTAAAAAGCTGTGATTAATTAACTGATTGGTTCCCCGAAGGTTTGATGCACGTATAAATAGGAATTCCCTTCTATTGCCTTGGCTGTGGCTAATCAGAGTGTTTCAGCTCCTAAAGAAATCATTCGTTGTCACAAAAAATGGGGAAACCTGCAATTCTGCTAGTGAAAGAGATTTACTACCCAATGCTTGCATCTGTAGCTGTTCCTGGTGAGTTGATTCATTTTTTTTTAACTATTTCTTCATAATCAACTTGTTCAGAGATGTTGTAGACACCTCTGAAGCAGGAGGGACTTGATCCAGTGTTTCTCAGTCTGGGGCAGGATGGGAAGGGGTGCTGATCTGCCACTGGCCCACAAGAGGGCATTGTGAGTCATCATAATCTCTCTGCGTTGATCCCTGCCATGTCACTCCTTGTTTATTCGCACATTGAGTCAAGTGACAATTTCTTTCTCGTAACATTTCACAATAACTAATTTTGAGAACTGGTTGATCTACCTTGTGTTTTAATTTTGATTTTATTTCATCTTGTGGTGTGATAATAATTCTCCTTAATGATCCTGTGTATTTTTGGATTGCTTCGTTATCCCTTACAAAATGAACTCAGCGCTAGATGACTAAAGACTTTTTGTATGTTTTTAATCATATGAAATTAACTCACATTATTGTCTTTCATTTGAATCAGGCATTGATATATTATTTACTGCTTGTTTTTATCTGTCTTGTAGCAAACATGGCCACAATTTGGATTCTTTCACGAAGAAAGTGTGGCCTTTCCAAGTGTATCACTGTTTACATGTTGGCCATGGCAACAACAGATCTACTGGTCCTGATCAACAATGTAATATTCTATCACGTCTTCAGTTATCACTTTCCTTTGTCATTCCTGTCCCATACCCCTGTTTGCAGATTCATAATATACATGACTGCTGTCACTCCCGATTTATCTGTTTGGTGCATTGTCTTCTTCACATTTGACCGATTTGTAGTCATCTGTTGCCAGACATTTCAAACAAGGTATTGCACCAGAAGCACTGCAATCACACTGGTAATAACCATCATGGTTGTGATCGTATTGAAGGAAATACCGGTTTTGTTTGCTTATGAACCTGAGAAAATTATTAACAAAGTGCAGTGGGGCTGCCGGTCAAGTCCAACATTTTTTTCTTCTTCTGCAGGTCTAGGTTATGTCTGGTTTTATAGTGCCTGGGTCATTTGGATTCCTTTTACTCTGATTGTCTTGTGTAATTCGTTAACTGTTCAACGTATTGTACGAGCAAATAGAACCCGCACTGGACTCCGGAGCTCCAAAAGTGGGAATCAAAGTGACTCAGAAATGGAGAACCGCAGAAAGTCCATCATTTTATTATTCTCTATCTCAGTAAGTTTTCTCCTGCTCTGGTTGACAAATGCTGTGAGTTTAGGCGTTACCAAACTGACAAACACCGTTTATTACCAAGGAAAGTTCACAAATGCTGAATTTATTGCCATTGAAGTGGGAGATATCTTGAAGTTTTTTAATTGTTTTCTAAACCCTTGTATTTATGCAGCCACACAGAGCAAATTCAGAGCAGAGTTGAAAAATATGGCAAAATCTCCGTTGATATTAATTCAAAGATATTCAAAGTTTGACAGAAGTCTGTAAAATAAATTTAGCTCAGCAAATGGTTAAGTCCAATGAAATTTTAGTTTCATGTCGTTCTCCGTCATAAAACATCCTTGTTTCTAGTAAAATGAAGCATCATTCATTTCTATATTCACATATCTTTGACTTTCCAGAGCACCTTTAGTGTGGATATTGTTTACCGCTTTCTTGATTCTTTGTTGAGTAAAGACAACCTTAACGTCCTGCAGTCAGAGACCTAAGATAATCTGATGTTTATGGTTTTGATCATCTATATGGGAAATAAAAGGATTCCATTACAGTCATTGAAATCAAACACATCTATTTGAAACCATCAATCGAGTTTCAGTTAGTCCTAATAAAAACTGAAAGAACTGCGGATGCTGTAAATCAGGAACAAAAACAAAGTTGCTGGAAAAGCTCAGCAGGTCTGGCAGCGTCTGTGAAGGAAAAAACAGAGTTAACGTTTTGGGTCTGGTGACCCTTCCTCA